AAAAAAAAAAAAAAAAAAAAATACTGACACCCAGGGGACAAAGTAGTAAGAAATGATAAAGTAACCTTTTTAACTTCGAGATTGTGGCTGCGCTACTATCCCAATTATGTATCAAGAGACTTAATGCTTAGCTGAAAACAGATGGTCAGATACAATCCAAGAGGTGATAAATATAAACAAAGCACAGCCATGAGAAAGTTGAACAGGACCACGTCATTCCATTTCCGCTCTAAATAAAGGAAAGAAAAGAGTTCACTCCCTTCCCCTCCCAATTTCCTGCTTCTCTACCAAACTTTGGAAAGCAAAGTCCATTCCACATAAGGAAGGGCCACAAACGGGTAGCTGGAAGAAATAAAATGGAACATAGTTTCCACCCCTAATGTCAATAGCTTTTGAAGGAGGTGAAGGAAGAGACCATTTCAGCAGACAACTGAAATTGTAGCTCCATGGATCTGGCTGCACATAGATACACCACTTCAGTATCTATCATATCAAATCAATTCACAAAAGTCTAATTAAAAATTAACATTTTTATACATCAGTTTACACAGTCAATATATTTATCAGTCTATATACTTTTTATAAAATATCAAGGCATTGGCTAGCTGCATAAGAACTAAGATACAGGTAGTATAATAATGGCTCTTAAACATTTGTGTTCTTTTAAAGGCAACCTTAACTTTACAGTTACCAGACATAAGCCTATAAGACCTACACAACACTTATAAAATCATACCAGATACCAAGTCATTATGCAAACACTATATATCTTGGAACCTTTCAATCATTCTCAAAATTTTATATATAAGCATACCCCACAACTGTAAAGTAGAATACTACCTCAATCTTATAAACAAAGATACTTTCAAGACAAATAATGAATTAGTAACAAGTCTTACCAGAGCTATTTTGTCGGCTGAAACTAGCAGCTCCAATTATTCCAAACTTCTTGGATGAAACATCATATAACCCATTACATTTTGAACAGTGAAAAACAGCCACATCCTTTTCTTCCATTTTCTTCATGGAGAGAAAAGGGCTGAAAATCTTATCAGAACCTTTCCTAGATCTAAATGTGAGCACATTTAAACCACCCATTTCATAGACACCACCAGGTCTTCTTCCAAGTCCATTTCCCAAGTCTCCACATGTCATGTCATCTTCTTCACTTTCCTCTCCCTCCTCATCCTCTTGCTTTTCCTGTAAAGCGAGCACCTCGCTCATTGTCAACTTCAACAGCAGTTCCCTTAGAGATGTGTATTTCTATTCTGAAAGGAATAAGATCTTCAGATGAAGTAGCAGAGCACCACTGCTTTTTACCAGCATGTTCAGGATTACAGAAAACGTCTGCATAAAAAGAAACTAAAAAAATTTACACCATTCTCCCATAAAATTAGCTCCTAGGTATGGAAGACAGATTCCAGGAATTAGAATTAACATTAAACAAACAACTGAAACCGAAGCAGCAAATATTTTGACTTTGTTCACAGGATGTTTCTAATAAATAAATGCATAACTGCATTCCAATCTCTGCCAACAAAGCCAAAGAGAACACACCCAACCGTTACTTAAAAGAAGCAGCACTGTTCACAATTCACTGGGTACAAGAGACCTATCCAGCTGTGTTCAGCATGTGGTTTATGCATAAACAGATAATTTGTATCGAATATAAAAATAAATCTCTTCCAAACTTCAAGTATAATGCCTTCAGTTTGAACTTAATTCCATGTAGACACCCTCAATCCCTGGCCTGCAGAGCTATGTAATCTAGTCCAAAGGTATCCCTATGGGTCCAGAAATTTAGCAGTAGGGAGTGGCAGCAATTAACACCCGCACTGCTCCCTGGCTGGATCAGCCCTAGCCAGACTGATCCCATGCTGAGGGATTGTTCACATGCAGCTGGGTTGAGCCAGGGGCCCTATCCAGGTGCACAGATATGGCTTGGGCAGGGCCTGATATACCCATGTGGCTGTACTGGGCCCACTGACCTGATCTGGCCAGCAGATGGACCTGGTCCCATTCACCCTGCCTGCAGGCAGGAAAGATGGGGCACCACTGCAATTTCAAAGGTTTTACAATCCTCACTGCTGAGCTGTAAAATCAAACGAACCTTTATAAAACAGATAATTCTGTTTTTTTATCCTTCCCTTACTCCGTGAGCATCTTTATTCCATTTATATTGTTGTGGCCTGTTGAAACTTTCCCCAATCAACTGCATTCATAACAGCTATTACTCTGCTAGCCACAGGCAGAGGCATACATGCATTTCTAAACGACAGCCCTCCCTCCGAGTTTACCTCTCAGTTTTCAACAATGCAAGTGGTGCTGGGACGACCAAGCTCGTGGTTCAATTCAGAGCAGGGTCCCCATTCATCTCCCAGGCACCTCCGCTGAGCCCGCAGCCACATCACCTGTGTGCCAGGCACAGCAGTTAAAACTGGAAAGGACCCATCTAAAAACCTAGCCTTAAGTCTTCTGCAGATAGGAACTTCATTAGCTGAGCTGACTAGCAAGTCTTCCCCCGAAACCCACTGCTTGCACCGCGGGACAGGTCGCCCCCCCCCAAAGGAAGCTCTAGGCGGCTTAGGAGACCCGAAAGCTCCGTGGCATTAGGACAGGAAAATGAGAAAGGCCTTTCAAATGGGCCTAACCGCCCGGCGAAGACAAGCGCCGCTGCCCGCCAAGCCGGAAGCAGCAGCAGCAGCGACGCCCCGGAGCCGGGAGGGGGAGCGGGCGCTGAAGCCCGCCGAGCCGCCCTGGTGGCTGCCCCCGCGCGGGGAGGGGAAGGGCCGGGCCCGCGCAGGAAGCCGGGGGGCTCTAGAGGCTCTCATCAGCATCCGCTCGCACGGTGCTGGGGTGGGGGGGATCGCTGCTGCCCGGGCAAAGCCCTCCTACCTCCGCCCCGCCAACCTGCGCTCTGGCCGCCAGGCACTACGCCGGCTCCGCTCCGCCCCGCAGGGCCGCACCTGGGCCGCCGCCGCCTCCCCCGGGCAGGGAGGCCATAGACACGCGCGGGCCGCCACGGGGTGCAGGTGTGGCTGAAGGAGGGGGAGTAAACGGACGGCAAACCTCAGGGCCCTGCCACACCTGCAAGCTGGAGAGAAACCAGGCCTACGGGTGTTTCACCCTTTTTTTTTTCTTTCAATTAAAGCAACAAAAACGTCAAAGTTCCAACCACAACGACCCGTCCAAGAACTGCAACACAAAAAGCAGCGTGTCCATATCCACGCGCAGTATTTCTGCGGGTATTACACCTGCTCCAGCAAACTGGGTCCTGTTGGTGCTGGACTGCCGTTGTGAGCCTGTGCTGATGACCTACTTATGGGAGATTAGCTAATTAAATGAATATCATGAATTTGCACCTGTGGCCCCTCTAAATTGATGCCCCGGGTTGCCAATTAATTGCATTGTAGATGTAGCCGGGGCCTAAATTATTTGTGCCCCCCTCCTTTCTCATTCAAACAATCACCCTGAAAAGCAACTAGCTGAGAAAGGTGTTTAGCCTCAAATCAGGATAGATGCACCTTATAGACCAATTTGTTTAGTGGGCTCTGACCAGATGTGAGCAAATGAATCACACAGGGGACTCCAGGTGACTCCCCACCCCTATTCCCACAAGTTGTGCTTCACTCTCTCTAAAATTCAGTCTACAAGGTACACCTCTACCCAGCCTTCTTATGAATGATGGGACCACTTGTTCCTGATCCAATGTTGGGCCCAGTTCCATTATCAAGTTTTTTCTGTCCTGGACCCCCAAGATACAAGGTAAATGAAAAGCAATGCTTGGTGTTCAACATATAGAAGTAATAGACACTTTTTCAAAGTGGTACATAAGGACTTGCATGCTGTATTTCATGTTATGAGCATATATATTTTTAATTATACTCCTTTCAAATAAAAAAATGCTGTCAGACTGTTGGCTGATGGTTGCACTGCCATAAATTCAACTCCTTACTTCACAGGTCATCTAAGGTTGAATGGCAGAAAAGAATCAGGCAGAAAAACAAAGTCCAAAAGGTTCCCTCTTCTCTACACTATTAAGCAGCAGCATTGATAAACACTGGCAAGAACAGTATCTAAAACGCTTGAAGTCTAGATATAGATTAAACAACCTTAAGGTATCTGCTAAGCGTGATACAGACACTTTCATAATGCTTCACACTACACTTGCAAAGTAAAAGTGTTATTCTCATTTTGCATACTGGAAGTATAGTAAAGAACAGTGACTTGTCCAAGACTACACAGGAAATTTGTAGTAGAGGTAGAAACAGGGAGAAATTTGGCCATATTACCATCTTTGAACTATCTACTTCAAGTAAATAAGCATCTCATCATGAATGCATATACAAAGCCTTATATTATGGTTAGGGACCTACCTAATTCATGGGGGTCTGCTCCCCTGATTTTGCACACCAGTTGATTTTTGTGACAGAGCGCAGCAGGGCCCCTCCATGCTTCTGCTTGGCTGAGGGGTCCCAGAAGCCCCACCTCTCCCTGGAGATTGATAATGGCCATCTGTCAGTCTCCAGGGAGGAGTGAGACTTCTGGGGCCCCTCAACCAGATGTGTGTGGGGGGGAGCCCTGCTGCACTCAGCAGTGAAAATTTTCCCCTTTCCTTCTCCCTCCCTGCCCTTGTGCTTCAAGACACCAGGACTTCCTGCCTCTGTTTTCAGCTTCCCCTGCCCTTGCTCCCCGACTTGCTGGCTGTTTTCCAGCTTTTTTTGCTGTCCCTGCACTTTTTTTTGCAGGGACCTGGTTTTTTTTACTAAGGACCTACCAATTCACAGCTTCTGCAAAAAACGTAAAATTACAAACTTGGCACACCCCTAATTATAGTACTTCTATATGAACAGTTTGTTAAGATTATTCAAATATTTCCCTAAATTTGCAGGTGCTAAATTGAAGCCACTCAACGGCTGCATTGTCCCTCCTAGATCCCAAGTATTTCAGTCCATAGGCAAGCAATGGTCCCACTGAGTTCAGTGGAAGTGCAACTTGTGGGATCTGGCTCAGATGACTACTGTGAAAAAATACAAGGCAAATCCACCCAACATTAAACACTAGCCTCCTTCAGAGATCTTGATCTCTAAGTGTCCACTAAGATGGTTTGTTTGCATCCATGGAAACTAATTGTGATAAAAATCTTTAAATAATAGCCAAATACCCTAACACTTTTCTAGATTAAAAAAAATGACAATGCATATAGCAATACAATAATAGGGATAAAGGTTTGAAGGAACAGAGATTTTATGGGTCACCGGAATGGGTGAACCATGAATGTTTAATTCAGCTTTCACTGTAACTGCTTTTTATGTCTTCATACATAATTTCTACAAAATGATGTACTGCAAATACTGTCACACTACCGTCAAAAGGGAGATCTTTTATTATTTTATTGTAAAATACAAAAAATGCTTCATATATGCCCCCATCTCAAAGTTTCTGAAGCTTTTAAATACCTAAGCAATTAAAAAACTGCTTGTAAAATCAGCATATCACTTACCTCCACCATAATCATTCTTTAAAATATAAGAGCTTCACTTCATTAACATTCTAAGCTTTCTTCTTTTAAATAGTCAGTTTGTGCTCTTGACATCCTCTGCAATACACCACACTCCTCAGTATGTTAATTCATCTTTTAGCAACTGACATTTCTCACTATGATCAGTCATTCAGATTCTTATATTTTCACAAAGAGAAAAATAACACTATTTTTTGGTTACTCAGAAATATAAGGCTGGAAGAGACCTGCTGGAAGGGACGTCATGCCCCTTCCTATTGCAAACTACCACATCATATAATCCTTTCTTTATAAACTAGCCAGCTTCACTGGAAGCCAATTCTTTTTTTTTTTTCTTAGACAGTAGTATTCACTGATTTATTTTTACATGCCAGCCCAAATAAAGAGAGAATGATGCCCCCAGCATACACTTTAAGGTTACTAAATGGACATATCAGAATACCATGC